AGTGAATATGAGCTGTTTGTCTGGATTATACAGTGAATATGAGCTGTTTGTCTGGATTATAGAGTGAATATGAGCTGTTTGTCTGGATTATACAGTGAATATGAGCTGTTTGCTGGATTACAGAGTGAATATTAACAGTTTGTCTGGATTATAGAGTGAAAATGAGCTGTTTGCCTGGATTACTGTTTGTGAGAATAAATTCTGATGGTTCCTGCTGGATCAAATATCTTGTGTCTGTTTTCTGTTGTTAATCCCAGTCAAGTAAGGGAGAGTAAGTTGATGTGGTAGCTTCCATCCACCTGCAGCAACAACACAAACAACAACAACAAAAATAATTTATTTATTCTGCTAAGTGGGCCGGCACTCAGAGGAGATCAGATCTTTTCAGTTGTGGCTCCTGAACTGTGGAACCTGCTGCACCTGCACATCAGACAGTCTTCAACTCTTAAATCTGTTTTCCACAGTCTTTAACTCAGCATGAGGGTCCACTTTTCCACCTCTACAGTTTTGTTTTATGGTTTATCATATTTTTATTCTTGACCTTTCACTCTGTTTTGTCTTTTTATCAGATGTAATATATGAAGCCCTTTGTTTTATACGTGCTTTATAAATAAAGTTGACTTGGCTTGTATGTTCAGTGGGACCTGTTCTCCATGAGGACATGGAGGCTCAGGGACTCACATCAAATCGTCCGATAGAGGCGGAGGTCTGGTTGGACTGCATCACCTCCGTCAGAGCCCACATCTGCTGGATGCTGGATGAAACCGTCTGTGGATCAGGGAGGCCCTGAAACAAGTCCAGCATCAGAGATCAGGTTTTATCTTCCATCATCAGCAACGTCTCTGTCCACTGAATGGACTGCATCAGTAAATATACCAGCATATACCTGCATTTATCATCATATACCAGCATATACCAGCATTTACCAGCATATAATTTTGCCCCACGTACGTGAAGTAGGTTGAAGGTTGACTTCAACCTACTTCACATACGGGGGGCA